TTTTTTTTTTTTTTTTTTTTTTTTTTTTTTTTTTTTTGGAAGACTCGCATCAGCTCATCCACAATCCAATGGTAAAAATGCCGTCGTGTGTATACGATTGCAGATGAGTCGAGCGTGGCCGGCGATACATAACCGTAATCGATATATAAATGCAGAGTAAAGAGAAAGTACGAGAATAAAAAGTAGTCAATAAATTGGAATATATAGTACGGAGGAAGAGGGAAAACTCACCGGATCTGGCGGGAGTCTGTAATCCGTGGATATTTCGCTGCTCGCACTGCGCTCTTCGGTCGACCTTTCCCAGTCCATCTCTTTTTTTAACGACTGCAAACGAACATCGGGCACACGTCAAAGTAATAATTGGATAGCTGTCGATGCTATTCGAAGAGAGTACGAACTTGTTCGCTCGTCGAGGCGAACTTCGCTCGAAATCATTAGCATTTTATATTCTCGAGGAGGCGTGATTAATTTGATAAACAATTCAAAGATAGAGAGCGATGCATCGTGTAAACGAATAACGTTATCTGATCGAATAATTAAACGTGTTTACGCTGCTACGTCTTAAAAATATCGAATATAAAGTAACTAATTGTCAAACTATTCTATTTATTACACTAATTTATATGTGAGATTGATCGTTAAGAAAATTATCGCATTTTGAAAGGAAACTTTGCAAAGTGAAACGAAGTACGTTATTTTTCGTATCAATCCAACAACAATTCACATTAAAAATTTTCTCTCTCGTGCAATTTTTTTCTTTACTTTTGTTCAACCACTCCCGTACCGTCACAAACAAAACACGAAAATTTCAATAATTAATATTATTGAAACTCTTTCTCTCAGACGCGAAGATTCTAAATTTCAAAAATTTAAAAAAAAAAAAATCCCAAATTCGACGATCTAAAAAGAAAAAAAAAAAAGAATAGAGAAAAGAATACAGTACTTACAAGTGGAACTTGCTGGACTGGGGGTAACCCCGACGGGCCCGCGAGAGGCTCTGTACTGTGCGGGGACGGAAGCCGGCTCTGCGGTAAGTTCAACGGTAGCACACCAGGCGTGCTCCCGGTATTATTACTTAGACTCATATCCGAGGGTCCACTGTGGACCGAGATCGGGCTAAGGGAACCCCTCGTTTCCTCGAGGCTGGCGGCATCCTCGGAGTCCCTCCTGGGCCGATCGAGGGCCAACGGCCCTGGACAAGGGCTACCGGGTCCCGTGGGCGATGGCGGGCAATCCGTCATGTCTACCGCCTCTGTCGACTCGCTGCTGGGCAATTGGGCCACGTTCTGTTGAGTTTGCTCGCATTCTTTCACCCCACCACCCGATGGCAACCCCGCGCCACCGGACGACGACGTGTTTCCTTCCCTGTCTCTCTCTTTATTGCTCGCCTCCTTTATACTCTCGCGTTCACGGTGATGTTCTCGCGACGTCTCGCGCTGTATACCCTCGGATGTACTCGTGTGTTGTTGTTGTTGTTGTTGTTGTTGTTGTTGCTGTTGTTGTTGTTGCTGCTGCTGCTGCTGCTGTTGTTGNCTGCGGTTGCTGCTGCTGCTGCTGTTGCTGCTCGTCCCTCGAAGCTACCGCCGCGTTGATGTTCGTCATATCCGCTAGACCCTTCACCTTGAGGCTCTCCGCTGTCTTGAGGAGGGCCGATAGCTGGCAGTACTCGACGTTTACCTCGCCCTTGTACATGAAGTCGACGAGGGTACGTAGCTCGGCGAAACGTACGTCCTTTAGGATGACTATGGGGTGGCGGTTCGGGTGGTCGAGGAATAGGGCCTGGAAGTAGCTGGAGCACGCGGAGAGGACTACCTTGTGGGCACGTATCGAAGGTCCCTCCGTGCACGCCAGTGTCACGTCCACCAGCGACTCCGACTCCAGCAGTTGACTGAACACACCCAGCAAGTTGCTCTGATGATTGTTCCACCTCAGGCAGTAATGCTCACTTCCCATGTCTGAACTGCACCCCGCAACCCTGCTGCAGAAGAAACATTTGTACCGGCCCTACTATATCCTCCTTTCTTGCGCGTCTTGCGAATATTTATTCTCTCTCTCTCTCTCTCTCTCTTTCTCTCCCCCTCTCTCTCTCTCTTTCTCTCTCTCTCCCTCCCTCTCTCTTTTATTTCTCGTTTCTGTTCTTTTTTTCGCGTTTTTTATACGTTATTTTCTTTTATCTTTTCTCCTTTCTTTTCCCCTTTCTCGGTTTTTTCGCGTCGCTCCCGTGCTCATTGTCGACCCGTGCTGCTCACTGCTTCGTCGTTGAAGTATCAGAGGTTAGTTGCTCGCGTCGACACCCGTATTTTTTCTCTTTCTTTCTTTCTTTCTTTCTTTCTTTCTTTTTTATTTCCGAGAAGCTGGGAAACTGGCCCGTTTCCTTAAGCCAGGGGAGAGGCCAGTTTTAGTTTTCGAAAGGAAACTGGACGATCGGTGAAGCTTTTCTTTTATTAATTTACACGATTCGTGTTAATTCTGTCAGTCGATCAACATCTGGACCTCCCGTTGCAATACACGATATTGCAAAAATACTCGTCACGTATTAAACAAATGGGATGTCGATTAGTTTAAGATAAAAAAAAAAGGTTTTCGTTAATGTCATGCGATTATATAAATCAATCTTAATTTTTAGTTTCAATTTTAATCTCAGATCGAATTCAGCGCTATCATCGTTCTCTTACCTAAAAACTCTTCTTTTTCTTTTTTCTTTTCTTTCTAAAAATAAACTTTACCAACTTGTCACGCGTAAGAAAATCGCGTACAATTAGAATTGCGCGCTCTTTGTACAATATCTTAGATAGCTGATGCAAATAGTAGTTGGGCGATAAGAAGAATAAATATCGAGTCATTCCTCCTTCTCCTATGCGTATTCCTCGATTCCACGTATCTTCGAAATATGTAATCACTTCGAAAAATTTACGTACAAAGAAAAAAAAAAAAAAATCTCGACCACGGATATACTACGGATCTCCTCTCCACATTTCTTCGCACTCCTTGACATCCCCTCCCCGCCCTTCCTCGAGCTTCCAGCCTTATCCGCTTCCCGCCGAAACGATCAAGCACCGTTACGCAACACGGACGATCGCGTGGGCATCGGCGGATGGGCATTAAATCACGTACTCGCCGTTCGAAAAAAAAAAAAGAAAAAAAGGAAAAAAATAAGCGTCTTTCGACGTCTAAATTGGAATTCTCTGTAGGCTGTCGCGGAAAACCGCGCGTGTACGCGGACACCGTCGCTATCACGATTTCCCGCGGCATAAATCAACGGGCGCGGAAGCGCGAGGAACGCGGAGGAAGCATCGCCCCGTCTCGTGATCATCGCGAGATTTATTCGAGCGAGGTGCGAACTCTCTCTTGGCGTCGTTCAATTCCGGACTGACGCTCGTGGTCCCCGGGAAGGAAGATGCACGGACCGATGATATCGGTTCGCGATACCGGCCTAACCTTATCTCTCCTCGTCATTCCTCGAAGGCAACCAAGGTTATTTATTCGCCTGCTCGAAACCGCGAGCCTCGTGCACGCACGTGTCCCCGACATGTGCGTACGTACGAGCGGGCAGCGTACGCGACGTCGTGTTGCATTTACGACGCGAGGCGTAAGCGATTGGGAGCCGTGCAATGGAGATGGAGATAAGAATTTTTGTTGTTCGCTCGATTATTGAAATTTTCCTTCTCGATCGAGGCGAATGATTCGGGCGATTTTAGGACGAGGTTTTGCTTACTTTACAAGGGGAAAATGACGAGGGAAGGGATGAAAAAAGAAGAAAAAATAGGATATGAAAATATCGTATAAAGTTTGTTTACTCGAAAGCCGCGTTTTCTCGAGTAATTCATGCTTGAAAACTTATCGAGTAAGTACGTGTAAATTTGTTTATTTGCGAATCATCGATTCTAGAAGGTTATTCTATACGTGCAGGAGTAAATATAATATAGTGTATGGTAATATTCTTTTATTATATGAAGATAATAAATATAACACGTAGAATAGAAAATATGTAGAAGTATAGGCGAACGATGTTCGATTTTTAAAATTAATTAATGAATAAGCACTCGAAATTTTATTACGGATTTGATTCTTTCTGGAAGATGGATGATCTCGGATAAATTTATGTCGCGTTTAATTTTTTTCTTTTTTTCTTAATGCGTTCGTAGTGGGATCGATTGTATTGGGACACCTTATATATGCAATTATTCGAGCCACGAAACCCGCGTGGACGCGCGTGTTCGCGTGATATATCGGCGGATGAATACGCGCGCGCTCGCGCTTGCGATGGCGTGCGCTAACGGCGAGCGATGCTCGCGTGATTCTCTTCGAGCCACGTGATAACGTTGCGCACTGATAATGCATCGTGTATTATCTTAATAATAGAGAGAAAATAATATTTTTCTTACCAAATTACGGATCGTATTTGAATAATTCGACGCCTGACGAGTCCTTATTTCGAAGAAACGAAAGTTTCTTAATTAGGATCGATCTCTGATATTTTATTATTATAACGAGAATATGGAAAATACGTAAGAGTGTCAGGTTTAGTTAAGCGATTTTGTTTATCGACGCGCTTCGTTAAATTTGCCAAATTAATTCGTCGAATAAGATTATTCTATAAATATTTTATCTCGATTGAAACAAATTAATATTAACATTGATGTTTTCGTGACACGAGCAAGCAATTAAAAAATCGTAAAAAATCTCATCTGATCTAATAATACAACGAACGTTCCTCAAATTCTACAAATATTATCCCATTCGTGTCAAATTTTCCATAAATAAATTCTATGGAAACATCTTTGTCTTATTACAGTTTTTCGAAAAATCAATTATAATAAATATTTATATTGAATAGAAGATGAAACGAAACTAGGACAGATTATTTATTCTAGATGCAGATCTAGATTTCTATTATAAGTTAATCGCTATTTATTTCAATTATTATCGATTATCAT